GCCGACGCTACCAAGTAGCGGTCCGCCGCCGCACAATCCGCTCCATCATACACCCGGGGGATTGGCGTTGCCGCCGTTGGGCTCGGCGCCGGTGATGATGCCGCGGCCACCGACGACCACCATGCCGTCCTTGGGCCCCTCGTTACCACCCTCGCACCAGGACGCTGCCGATTTGGCCGAGGCTGCGCCCAACCAGGACGTCCTGTTGGCTCTCCTCGCCAGGAACAAGAACTTGGAAGGTAAGGATTCTTTAAATTTGCTATGTTTTTGCGCGACGCTCGTCAGACCCATAGTCTCGAACATCGAGGCGAATTTGTTGGGTCGAGAAATATTTTATTTATGGAGGGAACACGGGGTCGGATCAAGCTGGTCACGTGGTCTTCGGATGTTTCAGAGACGCTTCGGACGGATGTTTCTTTTGTTCGTTCGAGAGTTTAGACAATAAATTTTTGCGCAAGGCGCACCGACTAAAGTCGCCGATTCTGTTGCTTATGGAGGTGCGTTACGGTTTACGTATTTGATAGAAATGTTGCGCGAGAAATAGAGAAATCGCGATGTTCGTTGATATTAATTGTTGTTGTACTTACGTTAAGAAAGAACGCATAGAGTATTTTGTTGAGCAGTTGGAAGTGCGAGCATTCGAAGTGGATGTAGAATCAAGCTACTTACTAAAATACTTTTTGATTATCGTTTTAGATACTCTGGTTTGTTTATCGATAATACGATCGGCCGCCAATACACAAAATGGAATATCAATCGATACTTTGTTAGAATATTAGAACTTTGACATACGGATTCTTCGATTTTCATACCGCGATAAGAATTATAAACGTAAAACTACCGTGTAAAAAATAAACGTTTACGTTTGCGATCTACGTTTGTTTTATGTTCGAAACGAAGGGCTCAAGTTTGTAATATTTAGCACAAACAAGTTGTAACTGCTAATGTTAATCGCATTTATACGAAAATATTTTCCTAATCGCAATAGGTATCGTTTCACGCAAATCAAATTCGGCTATCGATCTTAATCTTTCCGGAATTTCTTTTCGTTTTATTTCGGTTTTCCTGGTAATTGGTAATTCGTGGATTTCGTATTTCGCACGTTGCTTGTATCTGTCACGAACGGTTTTATCATTTCTTAAGAGTTGGTCGAAATTTTCGTGTTAGGTAACGATTATCGTTGTCGGTAGGTTGCGTAGTAATGCGTAGAACTTGTCTTGAACGCTGGCCACAATTTGAAGAAGGAATATGTGATGCAATTGGTTGCAGACATTAACATTGTTGACACGAAGATTATATTATCTATATAAAAAAATATATCTGAATCCATGAAATATTGTAACAGAGCGTAACGCGTTAAAATTTCCAACAAATTCAAATTCGAAGGAAATCAAATTCAATTTTATCGGCGGCCAATTTAATTTTTACGAAAGTCGGAAAAGTTAGGCGATCGTTGAAAAAATAAGTCGCAATTACCTTCATAGTTTTATGGAAACGTTCGTAGATAAGAAGTCTAGCGACGATAGTTCAGTCGCTATCGCAAGTTCTTATAATATCGGGTCAGGTTAAAATTTTTGTGCCACATTACGCGAACAGTAGCGAGTTCTCGATAAGAATGGTCGATCCGGATGATCGATAAGATTAATGTTCAGCTCAAGAGTGAATGATTATTACATTTGGGCCACCTTTCTATCGATCTGGAAATATCTCGTTTTTATTAATAGGAGACACCGACGCCGAAACATTTAATCTACGTTGGAAAACTGATATTTTGCGAAAGCATCGATAGTTTCGATTCGATTAAAAAACATACTTAATACAATTTAAAAAGAGATATAAAATAATGGGAACATATGTGATTCGAAAAATAGTTTATTGCGTAGCCGTACTGTCTGTGAAGAAAGATATATTTTGTATATGTACGTTTTATCGTTACAACGAAGATTATGACAAATTAAAAAGCGGCTTACGATTTACTATTAATCTATTTAATTAAACGATCGCGGCTACAAATTCACTATTTCTGAGTTGTTGACAACAGCAACGGTAGTATCTACTTACGCCATTTCACTATATTTATAATTATATCGATGAATTGAAATATTTAAAATATTATTTATCAACGTAGGTGTTAGATAGAAGTTAGATAGAAAAATTCACGATTTGTACATATTGTTTTTTATAATTCTTTTTATTCGAATTCGCGTTAATTTATTTTTATCGATATTATTAGTTGAATACAAAGAATTTATGAAATATTCCAATAGAAATGCCCATAAATGAAGATTAAATTTAAACTCAAAATCTGCGATCAATGGTGCGATTTATCATCGACATACTTTTTCTGTACACGACGTATTTTGTACTTGCTACCCTATAATTCTTAAAAACTTTACGTTATTGCTGTACCGTGTACGTGGATATACGAAAGAAATTAATTATGTGGTAGGAAAAATGACGAAAAGCGCGATTAAAATATATATATATATTTTTCCCTTTCTATTCAATAAAAATTTATTTTCAGAAAGTAACAACGTGATCCATCTGTTGGAACGTGCGATTTTACAGAATGTTACTAATTCACGATGGAATATTTTCCGTCATGTTATCGGTATGTTCTATGTGTAATCTCTACAATTTGGACATCCAGGCAGGGCAAGGTTTACAGTTTACTGTACAGTTTGCTATGTACCTTGAGAAACATATTCTAAATTTCATTAAAAATTTCAATTGAAATACTAAAACTTATTTACTTACGAGTTTCTATATTTTGATGGAAAGCAACGAACATTTTTCGACCAATTTTAATTATCGAAATGTAAAATGAAATAAAACGTATGTATCAAAGTAATATAAAAATAGTTATATAAATCGGTATAATTGCCAAGAACGGTCTCGCGAAGCTGTAACTTTTAACTAAATTAAAATAAGACAGGTATATCAAAAAGATGAAAAATACTTTCTCTTTAAAGTCTGACGGTAATTTCTGACAAGTAGATTTATCTATATTTCTTAAAATTGTAAAGACGAGCACAGACATTAACGTTTTATGTCTCGTTTGTTTTTTCATGCCTGTCTTCGGGGAAGATAAACGATCCTCTGCATTAATGTATCGAAATGGCGGTAGCCTTTCGCGTTTAACAAATTACTCTGCGCAAAGGATTCACGTACTTTGCCATACTCTTTTACATTTTGTCATCTTTCGTTAGAAAACTAGGAAATGCAAAATATGAAATCGTTACTAATATGGTTTCCCCCTATAGGAATCAGGATCGTTTGGTTCTCTTAAACGACTTGGTGATTTTAATGAATTTACTTTTAATTTGCACGTATCGAATAAGTTTTTAGTTGGTTCTTTACGCTCGTAGTTATTTTTTACAGTTCCTCTCGCGCATCTTTTACGCTTGTTCCGCAAAGCAAGGCATCGCGTGTATTATTTATGCAGTCGATTCCGGTGAGTGAAACAGGCCGAAAAGGTCGAAAATTCTTGAATTATGAATGCACCTGTTCGAAGATTCCTTCGTTTCATCGCTACGTTTACGAATAACAATTTTCTATTCTTAATCACGCTTAATTTGTAATTTACGTATCTAAACGTATTAAGCTGCGTAAAAATGCATTTTCGGCTATCTTCGCGCAATTAGTCTTCGTTCGTTCCTTTAACTTGCTTATACGAGGCAGACTCGTTGGATTTAAAAACAAAATATTTTTAACGCGATTTAAATTCTCGGAAGTAATAATTTTAACGCTTCGATAGAATCCATCTAGTTATTTCTGCATCGTGCTTACGAATGATACTCGATGACTCGTCAAACATCCTTAGTTTTTTTTTTTTTTTATTTAATATTTCGCATTCACAATTTGTCCAATTTGGACATTTGGTAGAATTTTTTTAGCTGTTTGGTTATCATGTGGGTGGCTACCCCTAATGGGGTACCATCTTCGTCTTTGTTAGGATATATCCTTTATGAACATCCTTAGATGACGTTTAATCAGTCGCTTATTTTACTTTTATACGCACTTAGAGTTTAGAATTTAACACGGTGGTTATATTTGATACAATTAAGGTATTCATAGAGGAGTATCTCGCCGACTAGTTACCAGTCGAGATCTGTAATTCTAAATTCTTCGTAGGAAGTAAATTTAAATCGGAATTTACCTTCTATTAGTAAGATTAAACGAATTGGACTTAATATTGGTAGCGGTAAACCAAATTAAGATATACGTAACTTGTAGTAATATTAGAAGTTGCAAAATTCCTTCGAACGTAACCTTAGTTAGATATATCGATTTTCTCACTTTGCAAATTTTCCGATATTCCATAAAATCAAATTTACCACTTGTATCGTGTTTTATCTCTGTTCCAATTCGAACGTTAAGCGTCAAGCGAGAAATATAAAACGCGTACAAATCTAACAACAAACGAGTAAATTATCATTTTTCGGCAGACATTGGCCAAACAGAAGTTTGAAACGGTCGACTTGCTCGAATGCTTCTTGATAACAAAAGGTAGGTGTTGGAATAGTTGGCAGGTCCGTGTAAAGGTTTTGTTAAAAGAGCGCGGTGAGGGTGGTGGATATTTTAATAAGGTAAGTGCTGCAAGGCCGGTTGCTATGCCATTGGGGCGGTTTAATCATGTAATGTGTTCGGAGGCTCGGCCACCCCACAATCAATACGGTATTGCTTCAGCACGATAGCGAATGTGCTTAAATCTAAACCTAAATCTAAACCGAGGCCCAAACAACAGGACCTAAACTACACGCCAGTTATTCTTCTCCACGTTACAGCCATCGATTAAACCTCTTCACCCAGCTAACTCGTTCCTTACTATATTCTTTTCCACCCGTTATACCAATCTTACGACACCGATGAGCGTGACACCGCGAATAATTCTCTGTATCGTCGAGAATTTTTAATCGCGCGTATCGATCAGATTCTTTATGCGTACAAGAAAACGAGAAAGACAAGAAAATGAACACTGTCGCGTACTTTCCGTTAGTACCCAATATTTCCAACCGGTATTTTCTTATTTTGCATTTTGCTATTTTTCCATCGAACGAACCAAGAAAAAAATCCTTATCAGCTTGCACATAGAATTTTTTAAACGTGAAACCTCCTTTCTTTTTTCTAACTAAAATGAGAGCTGATATAAAAATTGGGGAATCGCAGTGAGAATAAAAATGAAATATTCTTCGAGCCAATCGTTTGCAGACTCGAATAACCCGATATTTCGCCCATA